AACTTTATCTCCATTCTCCTGGTTTTTACGAAGAATCAGGCTAATTCTATTGTCTTATCTATGTAAATGATGCTCCTCGCTAATGCACTGAACATATTGCGTAATATTGCCGAGAACGATGATTTCATTTCACTGTTGGTTCTATCAGCTGTACACGTTATCACTGCGTGTGACGGTAGGTCAAAGACGACTGGAAGCCACTCCAGAAGGCTGAACGACCTCCTCCAACAGGCTGCTGCTTGTTACTCCAGAGCTTGTGACGTCACAAATCCGCGGCGGCCGATGGAGTTACCTCCTCCAGCAGGCTGCGGGGTGTTTGTCCAGAGCTTGTGACGTCACAAGGTCACTGGTCGGTGACGTCACAGGCGCCTCAGTTGCAGGTCGCAGCATGCAGGCGGCTCCAGTCCGCTGGTCCCAAACATGTGACGTCATGACCCTGTTGTGTCCGTGACGTCACGGCCCGAGGCGGCCGGTTAAGGACGCCATCTGTTGGGAATCCCAGCGGACATCCCGGCGGCGGGCGGTGGCCAAGGGAATCCGTGAAAGAATACACACCAACAGGGGTCTGCGCGGCCCGTGCTGGCAATGACCATGTGTTGGGACCTGACACTCGCTAACCTAACCCAATGTAACCGGGCATGACAACAGACTACCTTACTGTCACAACGCACGACATAACTGAGCCAATTTTTTTTACGCTATCCGTGATGTGGACGCATCCCAGCTGAGCGTTCATTGTTGTATGCTGTGATGTCGGATGCCTTCAGTAATTCAGCGGTTTGAAGCCCTTCTTTACCGTTCAAATGCTTGCGCGTGAATGGCAGGAACGTCTCTACATCATCATATTTGTTCACGTGCAGTTTAGTTTAGCGAACAATCAACGCAAAGGTGGTACTCTCCGGGAAAGGCCTTATCCAAGAAGCAAGTTGTGTTCGTAGTTTTACATGATTTCGTATGCATGAATACAAACATCGATGCTACTTTCCGAGATCGGTTGGGGGCGGCCTGAGCCACTAAAAATGAGTTGACCTACCGATAAATTCTGGAATATTCAGGCTTTTGGCCGCTGGCATTTGCGTTCCCGATGCTGTAATTGACATCTAAAAATTGGTTGGTTGCAAAATGTTGTGATTTCAAAGAATGACGTCCCGATTTAGGCTAATATGATTATGATAATTATATATGATAATAATGATATTTATGATGATGTATTTAGGCACCTAGGGTACCAACATTTCAGACACGAACTGCATTTCATTGGCCGATGATTCTCTTGGTCATATGCGTTGGAGGAGAGGATGGCTTGGAAGAGCGTTGCTGGTCTGAATTCAGCATCGGGGAGGCTCAGGTCCCCCACAAAAGTCTATAATGTGACACCCCTGAATACAGACACAGCCTGGTCAGCTTTTCGCAGGCGGCAGGCTCATCTGTTAGCCGGTCAGGTGGCCGAATGCGACTCTCCGGCGCTAGGGCAGGGTATCTGAGCTGGTCTACTTTGTCACCAGGTGTGTCCGTCCTTGACCAGTGGTCCGTGTATTGCCCGGTGCGGTCTCGTGTTCCCCGCGGCGGGCTGCGACTGTAGCCGGTGTCTCCGCCGGCGCGTACAGGCGTCGTCAGCGGGTGGGAGGGCCCGCCGTACCTGGGCGGGCTCCACCACGGCGTTGGGCGGGATGCGCCGCGTCTCACGTTTCTACAACGCCACAGATCAGTGACGGTACTGAATTCTTCAGCTCGGGTGTGCCTCAAGCGGTGTACAACAGCTAGCGTGGTTGTTTCTGTCTGTCCCGCAGAAAACCCGAGGTCAGTTGCTTGCTGGTCGTAAAGCTTACGATGGTTGAGGCGGCACAGAATTTGTTCAGACACTAGAGTGGTTCACGTGGTTTTATTGGCAAAATATGATGTTGGCACAGATGAAGCATGAGCATGACACATCGGTTCACAATAGCGGCGTGGAGGCCTATGGCGATAACATCCCGACCCCACATGGTCAGCGGGTGACCCCATTGGCACAGGGTGACCGGCCTCACAGACGCTTCCGTCCAGCCGGCCTTACAGAGTCTTCACGCTTCTTTCTGGAGCGCGACGACGGCGAACGTGAACTCGTCTTGCTCCAGCATGCCGTCGCCGTCGGTGTCGGCGTCCTCCAGCACGTAGCGCACGTGCTCGAGCTGCCGGTGTCCACTGAGCAGCGACGGCGCCACCTCCAGGGCCTGCTGCTGCGTCAGCTGGCCGTTGCCGTCAGTGTCTTCGGCGCGGAAGGCGATGGGCACGACCTCAGCCGGCGGCGGCTCGTTGGCGGCCTGCCGGAAGTCGGCCAGGTTGACGAAGCCGTCGCCATCGCCGTCCATGAGCGAGATGGTGTGCCTCACGTCGGCGACGCTGAGGTGCGGCCCGCCGGCCCGTATGATGGGCTCGAGCTCGGCCGGCGAGAGGCGGCCGTCGCCGTCGGCGTCCGACTGGTCCAGCATGCCCTGGAACGCCTGCTGCACCTCGTCGCCGTTGAGGCTCATGGGCATGGCGGCGCCCAGCGCGCCCGTCTGCGGGCGGAGAAAGCGCGTGAGGATGGTGACGGTTTGGCTGTCCTCGCCGTCATCAGTAGACAGCCTCGCGCGGTCAGGAAGGTCGCCAGCGAGACACGTCTGGCAATACTTAACGGCCTGCGCAAGCGAACATCAGATGCCGCTATGACGGCAGCGCTCCGTGATTTGGCTCTGACGTCACACGGTCTCACTGCCCCGCCGTGGGTTGTCCACTCACCAGGGCGATGGCAGCGATCAGCTTCAGCATTGTGCTCGACTGTGTTCGGCTGGAACGGTCAATGCAGACGCGCGGTGTGCCGGTGCGAAGGATGCTTGGCAGGCGGCCGCCGCGCCCCGCCTTTATACGAATTGGCAGCCCGTCCGCCGGCAGCGGCAGCGGCGTCGTCAGGAGTTTAACGCTGGGTTCAACGTCGCCGAGAGTTCAACGCAACACGGCAAGCGGCGAGCTGATATGCCACCCGCCCCGCCGTGACCTTGTGTCATAACGTGAGCCCACCGCTGTGTCAGATGTCAGGAGACGCGGGCGGGGTCGGCGGCCGGCGTGACCTGTCGGCCCCCAGGGCGACGCCGTTGGAGCCACTACTGCGCGGCCGACTGGCCCGGCTGCGTGACGTCACACTGCAGAGCTGTGCAGGATGGCGCGTGTTGGGCACGATGATATTTTACGGCCAGCAGGCGTCGTATGCCTTATGGTCGCTTAACAACTCTTCGACGCGCGTTTTGGCTTGAGGAATGGGTGTATCACGTGGTCAATAGTGGCGCACTGGCTCAAATATTTATCAATGCGGTGCTTGATAACAGGCTGTTTTGGTCTGCTAGGTGAATCACAAACGTTCTCAACAGTCGAGATGCCACGTCGGTTGACATGACGACGGTGGTCGTGATAACGGCGGGGAAGAAGCGTAGTGCTGAAGTGTTAACCGCGAAGTTTGGACTCAAAGACAATGAATATTGACATTCCTTTATAACTTATCCTTTGATGACTGGTCTTGAGGTGCCACGAGAGTATGTTTTTGAAATATGCTCCAAAGGTGGGATACTCCATTTGAGGCAAAAGTGGAATCATCCTCTCGAATATGATAACCATACGATTATGTTGAGCAGCAAATCTAAGGCACGAAAATAATCTTGACTTCCAGCTTTTTGTAATACGTGACTCATGACGATGACGTTACAACTATTGCAACACACAACCATCGCAAGGGAACAATCGGTCACAAGGCTGCTGATTTTAGCTTTCTGATTGGCATTGCGTGTGGCTTTAGTAAACGGGGCTGAGAGAGCCAACACAGACTAGCGAGGAGAGCAGTGTTCCATATGTCGGAGTGCCGAGAGCCCGCAGACTCTGGATTGGCGACAGTACACCGTTCACGTTCACATTTTTAGACTTTCACTGCGCATGCGTCTCTCCCGTTGCCGTCGCAATGCGGGCCTTCATGGGCGTGATGTTTTATATGATTCGCCCGTCTCCCATGCACGTGCTCTATCAAATCGCTACCCATGCCTATCGGTTGTGCTCACACGTTGCCCGTTTGCGTTTTTTTATTGCGATGGTTGGTATTGTGATATCTAGGAACTTTCGCGCCGTGACTCATCCTTCTGCGTCGCCAACTGCAAACACAATGTGAATGGGGCTATTGGCGATCCCAACACGCACGGCAGCAACTTGAGGTGTTTCGTGTAGCAGCGGAGCGTTCCCAGAGCGGAACGAACACTGGGACCCCTGCCGCCGTCCGGGGAGCGAGCAGCGTGGGAAGCTCCACGGCGTGGGAGCGGGCGTCTCCTGACCTCGCATGAGCCCGCGCCACTACCACGGAGGGCGTCCGACGCGGCTCAGACGTCCGTCCGGGGGCGCTGCCGGGCCAGACGCGACGCTGCCGCCGCCGCCTGGCGCGAGATCGGGCGCGCGCTAGCGCTTGATCGTTCTATCAATACATCGTGTATTCGTTCGAAGCGGCGGAAGTATCGGGTGATTGTGAACGTCGTGTTTTCACTGGATACGACCCATCCTGACACAGGCATGCCAAGGCGTGATGCTAACCACTAGTCAGTGCAACGTCATAGACAACGTACGGCGTTGCACAAAGCTGCTTGCTTCGACGGTGACTGCGATGCGAGCGGCGAGCACAAGATGAGGTGAGAGCGAGGGGAGGGGGAAGGGAGGGGGCGGCGCGCCGGGTGACAGGGGCATTGCCTCGCGCTGGCTGAGGTCCGCCGCGGGCCGGCTGCCTGGCCGTTTGTACATAGGGGGCCGACACGGTCAGGTCAGCACGAGTCACCGCCAGCCAGCAGAGGTGGCCTCCGCCCGGTCGGGACTGGCGGTGGCCGGCCTCAGCCACGGACCCACGGCCGGCGGTGGTAAGCCATGACAGCAGCATGTCCGTCTGATAACACTGCCAGCGGCCGTCTGGTGTCCGGCGGCTGGTCCTCGGCAGCTGTCCAACCGGCCGGAGCGGGCGGCTGGCGCTCGGCTGCTGTCCGGCGGCTGAAGCAGGCGGCTGGTCCTGGGCAGCTGCCTGCGGCTGGAGCGGGCAGCTGCTCCTCGGCAGCTGCCGGGCGGCCGGGTCACGGCGACTCCCACGTCGTCTCCAGCTGGTCCAGTGGCCTGTCCAGCCGGTCTGGCGAGGGCTCGGGCCCGTCCAGCGCGCCAGCCGCCTCCAGCGCCACCTCTGCAACGCGGCGAGGCATGACATCATACCAGGCGTGGCTCACAGGCGCCGGGCGCTTCCCACGTGCTGGCCGTGCCACCGTGCGGCCCGATCTGCAGACATCACGACTGATGTTTTGGGACATGTTCGCTGAGGGCTCTCTGCAGGGGCTTGACTCCTCCTCGCTGACATAGCCCGCTGTAATTGCGATACAACTGAGGTCTAAATCAGTTACCCATGGATCTTGTGTAATACCCAGGACATCCTTGGTGTTAGTGAGTCCTGCAAATGGCGAGATGGCATTCCACTTTCGCCCATGTACGCGTCACAACCCAAAGTTTCTCCTTGGATTCGAACCGGGATCTTCCGGTCACCAATCCAGCGTGGTGCCACTGAACGTCCATCTAGGACCCTCCTGCGTGATCCCGGTCAGTTTCGCAGTAGAACGATGGACTCGGTAATCAGAAGATCCCGACATGAGCCTCAGCAATGCTACGGAAAACATCCGGGCTGTGATGCATGCATGGCTGAGAGTCGAATACAATCCAGCCATTCACTCAACTCATTAATTCGTGAAGGCGGCCGGGGAATCAAATGGCCGGATGGAACATTGTGTACACAATATACCAAGGGCGACGATGACCCAAACAAGTTATTCAGTATGTTACGCCAATACCTCTTTTCGAATAATTTCGTACAATGCTGATCAAAATGATGACCTGAATCGTTTCATAAAACTGTTTCGAAGCATTGTTCTCGAGAACTCGGGTTTCAGAACACCAAACCTCGCCTTCCGGTGGGGGTAAAAGCATTTTCCCAGACCACGGCATTACGTTTTTTTTTGGGGGGGGGGGGCGGGGAATTCAGCACTACCAACGGCAAGCAAAGTTTATAAAAATTCAGCGGCAACGTAGACCCCATCCATGGAGGCTTCCCCAGACGGATGTGTTCCATCAAAGCTACCAGATCATCATCACGGTCATCATCATCAACGGTCTTAAAAGGGGGTACGAGTGGGTACATGTCACCGTGCATTATCGGAATACGTTACCAGCGAAGGCAACAACATCGTGTAGGGTCACCCAGGTCGCGTGCGATATGCCCTGACGTTGCCAGGAGCCACTGCCTTTTAGTGAAGGGTTCCTGCTGACAGGAATCACTTACGTTCAATGAAGGCGGCCAGGGATGGCGGCAGCATGGCGGCGGCCTTCCCGAGGTCCTCCTCGCCGCAGGTTCCACTGTCCAGCCCTGGCCAGCCAGGTAGGTCAGGTCCGCTCACCCATATACAATCGTCTTCCTATGCTTGACAGTCACATTTAGAATCATTCTAGACTACTGTCTCACCACTTTCATTTGACACCATTCTACTACTGTCTTATCTATGACTTTTTAGCTTCTTATATCCTCAGCAACTGATCTTTTTTTAAGAAGGGGAGACGCGACGCACGTCGTCGCACCACCACTTTATGGCAGCCAGCGACTGCAGGGGCCCATATTTGGAACACTTGCTACATATGTCATAGCAATAACGGCGGGCAGAGAAAGGGCGCTGCTGGCAGCGCGTGCGTGGCCGTGGTGTCGTGGAGTTCGAGGCGGGTCCTAAACAGCCCACAGACAGCACCTCGGTCGGGGCGCACATCGCTCCCTGCCGACACCATGGTAAGGGTGCAGCACCAATGGCTTACCTAGTGTCATGCCCATCCTCTTCAGCACCTCAATGTCGTCATGTATCTCGAACGTGTCGTTGAAGTTAAAGAGGTATTCCCTCCTGAAACAGATATCACCGCTCATCCACAGGTTGGCGAATATATTTACTAGATGCGCGATGGCGAGTGTGCAAGGAATGCGCTCTAGGACAATAGAGACGCTGGCTTCTTGCGTCTGTTCTGAAACAAAGAATTCAAAACATCAACTCCGGCAGGCGGTCAGCCGGTGCTGATACTTTGAACTGCGAAATAGTGGTGCGTTTCACGCAGCAATACACCCATTCATTCTCCAACTGGCGACGCATCGGCGTAAGTCTAATGATCCTTAACGAACCTGGCAGCCAGCTGAAATTCACGCCGATCAGTGACGTAACCAACGGCAGGGGACCATAGGGAAATTACCCCTGGGGGCCTAAAGGGTATCAAATGGAGCATATGTGCATGTAGGACTCCAAACTATCTCATTTTGCCAATGGGGTCCTCGGCAGCAGGGGCCCAGGGCAGGTAAGATCTCTGGGAGACAAAGAGGCCCGTAGTCCTCAAAGCTTCTGGGCATATTTCGCAAAATGACGGAAAGGGGTGGGGGGGGGGGGGAGGCAGGAAAAACGGTTGAACCTACTCGCACATACACCCCAAAACCCCGGATTTAGCCCACTTTCTTCTTTAAGTTGCCAAATGAAAGCGGCGGGTTCGGTTTCCGGTTTCCATCCGGTGACACGGCCATCTCAACAAGTAATCCCGGGAGTACAAAAATAGCGAAAGTTGGCTGCGCCCAACTTCGAAGTCCGGCAGCTCCCATAACTTAACCCGTGCAGGGCCACGCAACGAGCCGGCTCTGTCTGGCGGAGAACAGCTACCATCGGGCCTATCCATACCTGGACCGACCGATTGGACGACAGTACAGTCCGAGCATAAAGCTGTTGGTAACACGCCACAGCCTCCAACAAAACCCGCTCTTCTTCCACTTCGGCTGAGTGCAGTCAAATCGCTACAGCTTTTCAGCGATGCACCTTGCAAGGGGAATACTTGTGCCTGCACGCCTGGGTCCGACTAGATGCATGATATCAAGCAGCACAGCTACCCCAGGCTATCAGAGTTATGCGCAATCTATCATGACATGGAGCGAATCTCAACATTTGAGCAGCAAAAAATGCATAGATCGCCAGCCATATTTTAGCAAGATGATTGACATTCTTTGCATGCTTTACCTATCAGTCGGAGAGGACGTAACACACTCACAAATCCTTATTTCCCCGAGGGCTTTAGCCGCGGTAATGACAGCTGGCGATGGTAGCTGCAACAGCGCTGCCTCTGTGTCCCACATCAGCACGGCAGCGAAAGGGGGGGGGGGGGGGCGGGGGGTTACTCACTTGTCGCTAGATATGCTGCAGTCGATCACCGTCTTCTTCTTGGTGTTGACCACGAGGAACGGCAGCTGCACGGACGAGCCGGCCTCGGGCGGGCCTTCAGTCTCCTCCAGCTGCCGCAGGGATGCCGTACAGTGACGTCAGTGTGATGTCAGTGTGACGTCAGTGTGACGAGCTACAGGTTCGCGGCCTCTGGATCGCTGGTCCTACCCTCTGCCCCATGTCTGGTGATCCGATGTAACGATGATGACGATGAACGTGACGACATTACATGGCGCCTGGCCATGCACTTCCAACAACTCCTATCATAAATGCTTTTTTACGCCCCACATTTGTATGAAGCATTATTGCATACTACGGCACGGTAATGTTCCTATGAGCTGTGAGTGTTTCAGCTGCCAACAACAACAGGATAAAGGCACTGCCGTTCCGCCACGAAAGCCCATCGCTCAAACACTGCACGCTAAAGAAGCAGAGCATGGCAAGCTGGTTAGCAAGCTCTTGATGACCGTTCGGGAGCCCGATATGTCGGACCCTCAAGCAGCTGGTCGATGTCCACCGACAGCAGAAAAACTGCGGTGGATCTTTTTAATCATTGCTGGCAAACGTGTAGCTACTTACATCATCACTGAGCTGCACGGCACGCCACAAACACACCGCCATGCTAATGCACCTGGATTAACCCCGAAGCACACATCCAGACACTCACGCCATCCGCTCGGAAGGCGCGGGCCCGCCACACAAACGGGCGCAGTTGTTACCGCAGTCCTATCAGCGTTAACGGCATGCTCATCGCCGCAGTCCGCCAACATGTAATGCCATCGCCACCGCAAACCGATACTCGCTAATATGCTCTGTAATATTCTGTAATTACGATACTCTGTAATTCGCTGACGCTTGTCAGACGCGCCCGTGAATAACAGAACAGGACTGGGACGAGCCCGGGCCGGCGGACCGGGTCTACAACTGGCTGAGTAAGCACGACGACGGAAGCTGTACCCTTCCGTACCGTCAGTAACATGACGTCACGATTAACCTGCGTCACGAACGTGCACCAAAACGACGTGACAATGCAATGGTCCGTGGAGCCGTATCAGCTGTCGCCGGTGACCACAAATGCTGATCTCGTGCTGCCGTCACATCTCTTTCATGATCGGGCCAAGTTCAACTACCAAACACAGAACATGTTGATCAAGCCAGCCGCGTCGCCGTTGCCCTGGCGCGCGCTACAGTCTCACTACCCCTGCCATGGGGCCCGTGTGATGTGGTCGGCTCCAGCAGCCTCCTATCGTCGGCGGCGCTGGAAGGCACAAGAAAATGAGAAACACGATAGAAAAACGAAGAAACACTAGAAAACACGATACGGCAATAGAGCAGCTTACCGCCTTATTGCGTTCCACCAGATTCTTGAAGGCAATCTGGCGCAGCACGAGATCCTTGAGCTGCTGGGTTTTCTCACTGATTCGCTGTCGGCAATCTGCTTTCTCCTGCTCCAAGTCTGGCGAGTCCTGCAACGGAGGGCCAATCGGCGTCCCAGTCCAGCCGGGCGAGCGGGGAAGAGTGGCTGGCACCCGGCGCATCCTAGCAGAGCGGGGCAGAGTGGGCGGCACCCGGCGCATCCCAGCAGAGCGGGGAAGAGTGGCCGGCACCCAGCGCGTCCCAGCAGAGCGGGGAAGAGTGGCCGGCACCCAGTGTGTCCCAGCAGAGCGGGGGAGATTGGCCGGCACCCAGTGTGTCCCAGCAGAGCAGGGAAGATTGGCCGGCACCCAGCACGTCCCAGCAGGGTGGGGAAGATTGGCCGGCACCCAGTGTGTCCCAGGAGAGCGGGGAAGATTGGCCGGCACCCAGCGCGTCCCAGGACAGCGGGGAAGAGTGGCCGGCATCCAGTGTGTCCCAGCGGAGCGAGGAAGAGTGGCCGGGACCCAGCGCGTCCCAGCAGAGCGGGGAAGAGTGGCCGGCACCCAGCGCGTCCCAGCGGAGCGAGGAAGAGTGGTCGGCACCCAGCGCGTACCAGGAGAGCGAGGAAGAGTGGCCGGCACCCAGCGCGTCCTAGCAGAGCGGGGAAGAGTGGCCGGCACCCAGTGTATCCGAGCAGTGGGCTAGAACACGGCACCACAACTGCCGTACAGCGCATAGTCACATATGCCGTCCGGGCTCGCGATCCTGGAGTCGGGCTCCGATTGATGAATCGGGCTTCAGAGCGTGCTGACTGCCATGGTCGTATGGCGCCCATAGGGGGGAACGACGACACTTAGTGTGTGGATAATCCAGAGACCCGTGGCCCGCCGGGTAAGCTCTGGCGACAGAGCAACACGCGCGAGCGCGCCAACTAAACACACGGGCAAACACGAAACGTGCCAAACGCACGAGGTAGACGGTCCCGCTCGGTGATCTCTCCCAGGGAGTGAGCCGGCTCGGTGGTCTCTGCCCGGGAGTGAGCCGGCTCGGTGGTCCCTGCCCGGGAGTGAGCCGGCTCGGTGATCGCTACCCGGGAGTGAGCCGGCTCGGTGGTCCCTGCCCGGGAGACGGCCGGCTCGGTGGTCCCTGCCCGGGAGTGAGCCGGCTCAGTGGTCTCTGGCCCGCCACAACGCCTCACCTCGGCCGGCGGCGCCGCCAGCCCCAGCCACTGGATCCGCTTGCGCTCCTTGCTAATGATCTGCATGGCCATGAGCACGTTGAGCGCGTCGTACACGCGACGGCGGATGTTCTTCTGCTCGTACTGCTGGTCCGGCGACGCGGCGGCGCCGGGCGGACACAGCTCAGCCACCAGCTCGTCGGCCACCTGCCAGCCGGGGCGAGAACCACACACTGACGTCCGGCGCTAAGCGGCGCGCCCCGAACACAGCAGGCACTGGACAGACGGCGGCGGCGGCGCAGCGATGTGAAGAAGCAGTTGGAGCATAACGGAGCAGCTGAGCTGACCTGAGCTGACCTGACCTGAGCTGAGCTGACCTGAGCTGAGCTGAGCTGACCTGACCTGGTGCCTGCCGGCCGGCTGGGAGGGCTGCAGCGTCGTCTGTCACGGGACGCTGCAGCCCTCCCAGCCGGCCGGTGCCGAGGTCGATGGCTGGGCGATCGCGGCCGGACTGGGGCGCGGCGGCATTCAGGTATACCCGGGCGTGTGCTAACCAAGAGATCGCCCAGGTGGTGACCCACAGACCGCCCAGGCGGTGAGCCAGAGACGGCCCAGGTGGTGAGTCAGAGACTACTAGGATGGTGACCCAGAGACTGCCCAGGTGGTTGCCCAGGCAGCACAGGGCAGCCAATGGGACAGCAAGGAGACACGGACCGGCGCCGCCTGCCGAGGGCGTACCTCGCACAGGCGAGCCGCGCTGAGCCGGGCAGGCGAGGCGACTACACGGGCGACGGAGAGCCGGCAGCCTACCGACCCTGCGCATGACCTCCCTACGCTGGAGCGGGTATCATGACCTCATCCAGCGGCCGCCTCTTCTGGTGGGACGGCGGGCAGCCAGCGGGGCAGGGTGCTCGGGCTCCGACGCCGGCTGGCCGGCCGCGTCCAGCAGAGTCGGCGGGGGAGGGTGCTCGGGCTCCGACGCCGGCTGGGCGGCCGCGTCCAGCAGAGAGTCGGCGGGGGAGGGTGCTCGGGCTTCGACGCCGGCTAGACGGCCGCGTCCAGCAGAGAGTCCGCGGGGGAGAGTGCTCGGGCTCCGACGCCGGCTGGACGGCCGCGTCCAGCACAGAGTCCGCGGGGGGAGAGTGCTCGGGCTTCGACGCCGGCTGGACGGCCGCGTCCAGCAAAGAGTCCGCGCCCGCAGGCGACTCGCGCCGACCAGGCCCGGCTGAAGACAGGCACGCGGGGGGCGTACAGGGAGACACGCACCTCGTTGTAGGTGGTGGTGCCCTTGGCGCGCACTTTCTGGCACACCTTCATGGAGAAATGTCGCAGGCCCTTGGCGTTGCGCTCGTATCGGCGCCGCTTGCTGCCAAGTGGAACAGTTAAATTATCATCTTGAAGTGCGGCCGACCAGCAGCGGCTGCCAAGTGCGCAATGAGAGGAGTCACGCATCAGGATCATTTCAGTGAAGCAGCCTTAGACGAAACAAGATAGTGACAAGGAGCGCTTTGGTATTGACGCATTCCCTTCACCAGATTCAAAGCTGAGCATATCCATCCGACATTCAATGCTGAACTATGCATGAAACAACACCGTAACAAAAAAAAGAGAAAATCACACGTGCAACAGTGTGCACGACCACGGGACTGCGGCTCCAGCCGGCCCTCTCCGCGGGTGCCCCCCCCCCCCCCCACGGGAGACCCACCTGTCTGACCACAGCTGAGGCGGGTCGGCGGCGCGTTTGACCGAGCGTCCGCGGCCAGGACTGAGTTCGGGCGTCCATGGAGACGACGCGCCCCGGCCGGGCGGGCTTCCCTGCCGGCGCCGGCAGCGGAGCTGCGTCAAACAACACTACGACGCGCTCCGGCCAGGCCAGCTTCTCTGCCGACGCCGGCGGCGGCGCTGCGTCAAACAACACTACGACGCGCCCGGCCAGGCCAGCTTCTCTGCCGACGCCGGCGGCGGCGACGGCGCGTCACATGATCCTGCGGCACGCCCGCCGCACGCGCCCCCGTCACCCTCCCCCGCCAGAGGCGCGCCGACCAGCTCGCGCCGCAGGTCTCCTTTCGTTGCGGGAAGAACACATGCTAGGACGTCAGTGTACCGATACGACCGGGCTGTGGTAACGCAGCTGGCCGTTGCCCTCAAGCGCTGCTGCAAAAGCACTGAGCGTGTGGCTGTCGAGCATTTTCTGTCCAGCATTTGATCTGCGTCTTTCATGAAATTAACATAGCCGGTCGCGTGGCACGCGTGACGCTCATCAGCGCTGTCGGCCGGGCCGTCACGGCGCCACCACGGCAGGCAGCGAGCCTCGCGGACCGCTGCCGGCGTCTCCGCCCGGCCAGCCCCACACGCAGCGTCGCGTCGGGTCACGTCACGTCACGGTACGTCACGGCACGGCACAGCACGTCCACCACCACAATCACCGGCGAAGTGCCGCGCACAACGGCGATCCAACCGCCGCGCTCGAACGCGCTCCCCGGGGAGTCCACCTCCCGACGGCCTGGGTCCGAACAGACGGTCCGCCCGGGTCTGGCGCTGGGCCGATCGCGCCGGCGCGTGGACAGAGCGCCGTGGCAGCTTTTCGGCTCCGAGCGACTCGATTTGCCGGATCCCCGGCCCGAAGGTCGGCGTGAGGCGAGCCGCACCGAGCATCCACCGACGGATCGACGCTGGCCGACGCTGGCCGGCGCTGTCCCGGCGTGGGTTCGAACGCACCGCACGCGTCACACCGCCCCATGCCCGCCGTTGAAGGTCGGCGGAGGCGGGCACATTGGGACATCTCCGGGATATACAAGTGAGGCGAGGACAGGCAGTCGCGCGCGCGGCCGCGGCGCGCTGCTGCTTACCGCTGGCGACGGTCGGCCGGCCGCGCTCTCCGCCTCCGGAGTGTGGCCGCGCCCGCCCCGGCCTGGGGACACAGCGGTGCGTGTCACGCGTCACGTCACGAGCGCCCGGCCACAGAGCAGGCGCCGCTCTCGCGCAGCCGGACTCGAGTGCATCGCCGCTCAGCGCACACCATTCCTGGCGCTCCTGGGAGCTGAGCAAGCGCTCCTGTCTCTCCGGCCCCGGCGGCAACCTCACGCTAAAGAACTGGGGTCGTTGCACGTTCTGCGCGTTCTGGTTACATCTACTTCCTCTAGCTGCTCAGAAACCCACAGGGCCTCATCCTTCGTGCCATCAACTTTTGCTGCGCCTAGTGTCCCTTGGTTATCTACGGGGCGCATAGTCCTCTGCCTGCTTGCCGTCTATGTCAAATTAGTTCCCTGTCGGCTGCTCGGTCTGCCAAGACCCAGGCAACACATGGACCTGTTGGCCCTCCTTCCACGCCCCAAAGCTAAGAATGACTGGCTCGTCAAGCTTCGGGAAAGCCGCAGACGGGCTTTCCAGCGTGCCATCAGCACGGGTACCTGCGCTTGATGGGCGCCTAGTCTGCAAGGGAAGCGGGCAGTCTATACAAGACAGGGCGACGCACGGCCTGACATGAAATGAGGGAGTCAGTCGACTCCGCGACGTAAGCTGGACGCAGCTCCACAACCTGACAAACAAGGTACTGATGACTGGTACCCCGGGCCCTGGTGCGCGCGGCGCATGTCTTCCTCCACAGCGGCGTGGTGACTGCCCACCTAATCACCTGACAGAAATTGTTTAGCTTGACTGACTGGTAAGGGACATGACAGCCAGCTGGTATGGCAGCCGAGCTGGAGGCAGAACCTTACTATATCATCAGAGATATGACATACCTTGCATCTGTGAATGGGAGCCTGGAGAGCCAACATCCAGAGTCGCCGAATTTGTCTGCAACGAGAGGAAACTGATAAACTTCCACATTAAGTGCCTTGACATGATTCTAAAGCATTTTAACACATGGCAGTGCTTTCTGAAACGACACCTGCGCTACACAGCCCGCTCCGCTCACAAGCCACTGCGTCGAAAACATCCCATTTGTAAAAATTGTAAGCACCTGTTATGAACCGCACTCAGTCGGCAATGTCTGAATATTGCAAATGACAACTGAAATCACCAACAAGCATCAAACTGCGAGTTACCCCTCAGTATCCAGCCGTCCGCTTCGGATCACACAGGACGCAGCATCGCCTTCTACACACCCCATGCCACACCACGTGCCAAGAACACATCCCATGTACATACCATCGCCGAACAGTGTTAACAACGCTCGGTTATCATGTCGTCCCTCCTCCCACACCCACCCCAAAACATGGCCACATGCTTTAATAGCCGGAGACTGCCGTACACAGCCGTCCCTCATGGCAACATGCCTTACAGACCACGGGTCCACCCTGACCCCAGGCACGGCAGCTGGGCCGGGACGGGGTCTCGCCGAGGTTACGCTGACACTGCGCGAGGCCGGGACGGGGTCTCGCCGAGGTTATACTGACACTGCGCGAGGCCGGCAGGGGTCTCGCCGAGGTTATACTGACACTGCGCGAGGCCGGCAGGGGCCTCGCCGAGGTTATACTGACACTGCGCGAGGCCGGCAGGGGCCTCGCCGAGGTTATACTGACACTGCGCGAGGCCGGGACGGGGTCTCGCCGAGGTTATACTGACACTGCGCGAGGCCGGCAGGGGTCTCGCCGGGGTTATACTGACACTGCGCGAGGCCGGCTGGGGCTGCAGCTTGCGGTGGAGCACCAGCGTGGCCGGAGAGCGGGCGGCGGCCGTGGACACGCCGGCGACGAGCCGTATGCTGGCGGCAGTTCCCGGCGCCGTCACGACCGGCTGGCTCACAGCGGCCGACACGCGGATGACGGGCCCGGCTGCGGACGGCGTGCTCGCGGCAGCAGGCTGAGCGGCCGGAGCGGAGGTGAAGGTGGTAGGCTGGGCTCCAGTGCTGGGGGCGTGGACGACAGCTCGCACCACTGCTGGGAGTGATGACTGGCCAGTGGTCTTGCCTTTGGTAGGTGTGACTTGCAGCACCCGTACCATTTGGTGGATGCCTGGAGGCAGAATGTGAGTGGTGTGATACATTGCCCACACAGGTGATTTCTGAAGGGGGACTAAGGTGTCTGTGGTGATCTAAAACTTCACACAAATGTGAATGACAAAATGAGCATTTTTAAGACATGATGAAACTTCTGTGAGACAACATACAGAAATAAGAACAGCATTTAAGAAGCAAATGATGCAGCATACCAGTGGACAAGCAAAAAGTTAACTATACCATCAGGATTACTCTACCTCTTTCTCATGTATGCCTTGGTCAAATATGGTCAAGTTCTTTCACAAAAGAATGCCATTCAAATAATGCCTGTGATTACCTGAGCACATCCAACCAGGGCTGCTCTAAACATTTAAACAGCATCTACAAGTGGAATTTCTCCCATCTGGTATGTTCTACTGCACCATCACCTGACATACAATTGCCTGCTTACCATTTGTGTTTTGGATCCAAACAGTGCCAAATTCCTGCTTACTAGCACCCTCCTTCGTAGATGCATTTTGTCTGTGCATTATCTCATTGGCACATCAAGCCCCAGGACCTGAAAAAGGTAGGAAGACAGTACAACACAATGGTGGTCCAACAGTGCAATGCAATGCAGCTCAACACTGTCAAAGCAAAGATAGCACACACTGCCAACTGATGGGACAATTAGACAATCATGGCAGATGTCAACACATGTTAGCACTACAAATAATCTGCAAGAATAATACAAGACAACATGAGCAAAACACCAAGACACAAGGTTAAGTCATGAGTTGTGGTGGGGGCATAGACAGTAAAACATAACCAAATATGCCCACTAAAACATAACCAAAATGACTACTCTATAGGTTTTGTTCACTTTTTCAGAGTTGTAGGGCTGGAGTTAAATGTGTGCATATGGAGGGTGAGGGGCCGCATTCCCCAGATGCACAGAAAACTACAACTCTGCAAGTCTCGCAAGAAACAGCTCCCTCTCCATGACCGTAACACGCAGTCCGGAACTTTACAGCGGGTGGTTACCCCACAGGTATCTCAAGTTCTGCCCGGTTTGAATACTTTGAAAAAAGTTTCGCAAGGATGCTCCCATCAAGACAACAATTCCAGCTCAACTATTTGATTAAAGCATTAGTTGAATTCATTTTCACGCACCTGACCCCACTTCACCACTATAAACACCACACACAGCCGCGTCTCGGGATTGAATTGCCGTTGCCGCCACATTCCGTGCTGATACACTGTATTTTTGTCACAAATGAGCCAGTATTGTGGAAGTTAGAGCCAACTACCGTGAGTTGGTGCACTGCCAGAAGGCGCTCTTCAAAGTTCATCAACAATGCAATGCGCCAAAAATTACGCGCGCTTGTAGCAATATGAAGTGTCAAATAAGTTAAGAAGCCCCCCCTTGGCTGCACCCCAAGCCCCCCTCGAGGATAACTCTTGAAACAGTAAAAAATATGCTTTACGGTCACGGAGGCATCATGGGACTGTGACGATATGCAAGTAACCTTTCAAACCTTGGGCAATGTTCACGTCCCTCTAGATCTGATATGTCACCGGCTAAAATACCTAGATTGGCTACGCTGGCGGCCGGCCCTCACTGGCCTTGTCCGGTGCCTGGTAGCCTATTTTCGAATAAATATGCCAGCACCACCCGTTGGTCAACGACATGACAACATTTTGGCGACACAACAGGATACGGTAGGCGCCTCGCTCGGTTAGCGGCTCTGGTTGAACAACGTCTGTCAGGTCAACACATCCTCGATAATATTTGCAACGAAGCATTGCTGCGAGGAGAACGGTGTTTAGTACCGATTGGTGCTAAAAGTGGCTGAGTTTAGTACACATAGATACTAAGCAGAGCAGCCCGGTAACCGGAGGCTGAACAGAGGAAAAGAGGCTGTTAAAAACGTCCGTCAAGTTGGCACCACATTCACATTCAGATTCAAGTGCATTCATGCCTTATATATACAACACCTTAGCGGCCTTGGCATTTGAAAAGCTATAACTTTTCTGATACAGCGTACCGATCTAAAATTGTGTGTGTATCCTAATCACAAGTTTAATATATACCAGCACACCGACTTGGGAAAGAACTGAAGGAGTCCGCACTTTTTATTGTGATCTTTCATATTGCTATATCTCCGGTAATAGGGCGTACTGATCCAAGATTTTGTGCTCATTTCGCTCAGGAGATTAAACTGCATATGCGGATAAGATTTTAAGTCGCTATGAGAAATCCGCTGAATATCGAGTATGAAAGTGAGCCAAGTATGGTCAAATGCAATATGTACTGCACTCGCGACCTTGACATTAGAACAGCTACAAATTTTTTGACACGCGGTACCTGTCCAAGATTTTGTTGTTATCGTTATCAGGAGGTCAATATCTACGAGCATGCGGAGTTAAGAAAGAACTGAAGAAGTTCGCCTTTTTTATCGTGATCTTTCCTATTGATATATCTCCGTTAATAGGGCGTACCGGTCCGAGATTTTGTAGTCATTGTACTCAGGAGATTAAACTACATCTGTACACGAATTTTCAGGCAAATTTAAGGAGTACGCTGAATCTCGAATATGGACCTGAATCTGATGTGAATACGTTCGTCAAGAATGTGTTGCCAACTTGACGGAAATCAGTCACAGACCGACGTCCGCCGAGGGTCTGGTGTCGAATAGTAGTTACTGTAATTATCGTAGTTGGAAGATAGGATACGATAGAAAGGAATAAGGTCGGTTTTATGCGCCCAGTGCTTGTACAAACGGTTTTTGAATGTGTGGTGCTGGCATTTGTAGCGATCTCAGCGGGCAGGCTATTCCATCCGTTTACCACACACAAAATGTTTTACCTCAATGAAGGCATTTAAATGTTTACTTTTTGGGTTGAATCGGCGTTCTCGAGTACCACGCTCCCCATGTCTGGTGGGAACAATTCATCAGGGCTGATTCTCAGCTTGCCTGTGGATATCTGGTACACCATGAACATGTCTCATAATATCCGGCAGTACATGCCTGGTGGCTTGAGCACCTTAAGCCTGTCCTTATACTTTAGACAAACACACTGTGGACCAGCCTAGTTGCTCTTGATACTGCTTAAAGTATGTCCTGGTGTCCACAGTACATTAGTCTCCATCCAGCAGTCATATCGAAGTCAAGGCCTCACTGCAGACTTGGATGGCATAGGCACAGTTTTGACATCATCACAGAAAGGGACCAGGGTGCCAGCAGTGTAGTGGTTAACGCATCTGCATTAACCACTGCGTTGTGGGAAACCAGAGGTACAAGGTTTGATTCCCTGCAGCGCCGCCCTTCCTGCCATGGTGAGAGGCAGACGACGCCATATAGCCTCAGCAGCTGAGTGTGTCGTAAAGCCCCAATCACATGACACATGACACACAGAAAGGGACCACTTGATTATCCTTAATGCAATTGGCTTTTGCCACTGCAGTTGCCATATGAGTGATGAAAGTCAAGCTTTCAGTCCACCTAAATGCCCAGGTCCTCACCATCAGCTGCTTCGATGTCCTGTCCTTGTGCAGTGTCTCCTGTTGGCGGCTTTCTGACCTAAGATACTGTGTTATACACTTCGTGAAATAAGGAGTCACTACACATCTACCTACCGATCCAATTCTGTGACAGTGTGTTGCAGAGCATTTCTACCAGTGGTATTGCAGATCTTTTGAGAATCTTGGTGTTGAGGCCCAGTGAGGAACACTGGGATCTACTTCAGAACTTTTCCACAAGCTCCCAGCTTTTCAATAGGTTTCACTAGGAGCCTGCAATGTAGAACCCCAATGAAAAAATTTATGACCTTGCATGCAACTGCAGTTAAACTGGCAGGTCAGTAATTGCATGGCTTTGCCCTATCCTTTTTCTTGAAAAGTGAGATTACATATGCCTCCTTCTATAGGGCAAGAAAGGTTCCAAATTCCAGGGGCTTACCAAAAATGGTTGCGAGTAGCTTACCTAACATGAGTGTCAGCTCCTTCAAAATTATTGGCTGAAGGCCATCAGGACCTGGATCTAGTGCCTTACACGCATCTAGCCTGCTCAGCTTCTTGCTCACTGCCTCCTGCATGATATCAACTTCAGAAAGGAATCTGCTATTGAATGTTAGAGCTATAGGAGGTATGCTCAACAAATGTGTGGGACAAAAATGCTACTGAAATGCCAATTTAATGCCTGTGCCTACTCTGTTCCTGTTCTTGCCCTGGTGCTCTCTGCTCTGCTCAGGTTTTAGACTCTCTCCCTCTCTCTTTTGAATTGTGCAGGATCTGCTCAGCTATCTTCCCCACTTGCCATCACAAAGGTTTCCTTGGGAGCCTCTGAAGCCAGTACTTTGCTATCTTCCCATTTACCTTATTTAGCAGGACATATACATATGTATTTCCATTAGTTTTTAGTTTTTCTTAAGTTTTCTTTAGTCTTCTAGTTTATCTCTAGTTAAGTATCTAGTTTAGTTAGTATTTGGTATAGTGTATCCTGTCTCCTCTTGTCCTGAATAAGTTTGTGGTTGCTATATGCATGCTTTCTTTATTTTTTTTCTTTCCCAGAGGGTCAAATTTTTCCACTAAATGGGACACCTCTACACCTCATTCCAAATTTACCAGGCTATTTGTACCTCACAGTATCTATCAGATGTCCAACATCCAGACCCTGCAAAGCCTCTGCATTCACTTACAGTCTCCTTGATTAATATTTTCTGTGGGTACCCTTCCCTTGCATGTACTCTGCAACATGCAATGGTGAATTTCAAACATTGTTGATGGCTGCCTTCCAGCAGATAAGCACGCTCCAACTCTGATGATTCTCTCCCTTCACTGAAAACACTAGGTCTATTATGCTTATCTCACAGGCTGGCATGACATGGGTTGGTGAATTTACATGCTGTACCATGCAGACCCAGCCTTCACTCTGGAGAGGAACTTCCAGGTGTAGTGAGTAGCTGATGTTCTGGAGGTCCCTACATGCTGCTTGATTTTCCTGTGCTTAAAGTCACCTACCACCACCAAGTAACTGGGCCTCCTTGCCAGTGCTTCCTGTAGGACAGAGCATGTAGCTTCAGGTGGCTGGCATCCTTTTGAGCTGGGGCCCCATAAACTTGCCCCATTATCAGGCGATCATGTCCACACAGAGCTATCTTAACCCGAAGAGCACCCGTTGATGCATGAATCGGGCCAAAGACTGCTGCCCTTTCAAGTGTTTCAAGTGTTAAATTGGCATTCATTGCTTTTCTATTTTGCATGAGCCATTTAGCATTTCATGATAAAATGAATAAATAAAAATTGTGGACCCGAATGTTGGCAAGCTCTGACACCCTTGCTAACATTTTCATTTTCAGGCTAGCTCTATCCCTTTCATCGGACAGTTTTAGATAATCATGACGGAGGCTCCCATCATCAGAAGGAATCGTCCAGGAACAAAGAGATCGGTAGGTTACCCTCCATTTTTCCAAATGTTAGATGTTGTTACTGTGTGACAGAATAGAATGGACGAACCTGTTTAGTAAGCATTGGTTAAGCATGTTTGCTGTTATGAAATATGTTCCAGATCATTTAAATTGCATTTGATTTTGCAAGTGTTTATGGCACTGGGTAGATTTTTCGGTTGCATCCATTGATTTTAATGTTCCAGTGGATATTTTAATTTGAGAGCTTTTCCCAGTGTTCGTTTTCCCGGGTGATGAAAAAGTTGAAACCGTGCGCTGTGAGCTAACTTTGGGCTGGTGGGTGCGGCAGGACTTCTACGGCTGGCCGGACGAGCTGTTCGAGGAGATGGACAGCACGCTGGCGGTACAGCAGTTTATCCAGCAGACGGTGCGTAAGGATCCGTCCTGCGTGGAGACCATCCTGACGGCGCCCGAGCAGCAGGACGAGGGCGTCTGGAAGTACGAGCACCTCAGGTGAGGGATGCGCCCCACCGAACCTCGCCGCTGTAGGGTGGCCCGGCTCCGGGCCCGGGGCATGGACTGGTGTCTTGGAGATCCTGCGGAATCCTGTCCTAACCGTGATGGAAGCTTGGTGTCTCGAATATCCTGTGGAATCCTGTCCCGATCCTGATGGAAGCTTGGTGTCTCGAAGATCCTGCGGAATCCTGTCTTGATTCTAATGGAAGCTGGTCCCACTAACCATGCGTTGGTCATCTCCCGTGGGAATTATTGTGATGTTTTGTGGGTCCATCTGCAATACATACGACATACTTGTGTCCTGCAACTGTTCTGTCATTGCGTGAGTTTGGAAACTCATCATTTTTGGCATCTAGTTTTCATCATGTTTGCGATGGATATGTTGCATTACATGGTTGATAATCATGCACATGAGGAAGGCGAAGAAGGGACGGAATTTCGTGGGAAAAAATGGAAGGCATTGTATGTTGTTTTTCACCATAAAAATGAGATAGGTCCAAAAAAGTGGATCAAAGTGTTACAAGCCCAAAAATAGCAGAAAGTTAATTGATTTAGCTTTATCCGCACGAATGATGTTACAGACTGCGACGGTGCCACGGCGTGCTTTCTGCGAAATAGCTGAATATTGTTGTCCATGTGACAGATGGCAACACGAGGTCATTTCTGGCATCAGATACGTTTTTACCACTGTATGACCTAGCTATGGTGTTTTAACATGACGTCGTTACACATGTAGGACCGTGATTGATGATTCCCTCTCATATCGACATTGAAGGGAAATGGCTCGGCCTGAGGTCTGGATGGTAGCCTTGACCAGTTGTGTATTTTCACGAAAAGTGATGAATATTACCCGCATTGCAATGCTACAATTACCAAGGTAGCAAATTTCATGACCATTTCCATAGATCTTAGGGCGTTCTGACTTATTTGCAGCTGAAATAAATAAAAAAGCGGGAATATAAATCGTGCAGTTCTTTTAATTTAATTTGCCTAGTGCTGAGAACATGTTGGAGTCGTACTAGAACCTAGTAAAGGACTCGAGAACATCTCAGACATCCTGTTAACATTCACGTCAAACAATCCAGAAGTGCGCATGCGCACGCGCGTGGGGCTGCTGGCGGTGCGTTAGTGATACGCACGTCAGCGTAAGAACTGCCAGTTAATGGAAATCGGAAGGTTCATCATAGCAGTTGCGCTGCCCACTGCATGCTGCATCTAGCATGTGGCTGCGACCTGGCATTTCCCATGGAACCTTCTTGCCGTCGGTCTTGCAGGCAGTTCTGCATGGAGCTGAACGGGCTGGCGGTGAAGCTGCAGCTGGGCTGCCAGCCGGACACGTGCACCCAGATGACGGCCACCGAGCAGTGGATCTTCCTCTGCGCCGCGCACAAGACGCCCAAGGAGTGTTCGGCCATCGACTACACGCGCCACACGCTGGACGGCGCCGCTTGCCTGCTCAACAGCAACAAGTACTTCCCGAGCCGGTACGGTTTGACGGGTGCCCGGACGGCACCGGGCGGAACGGGATGCTGGGGAGGTGTCAACACTCTGCAGTCGGGGACGTTCGTGCTGCGAGTCCTGTGCTGAACCGCAATGGAGTGGTGCTTGCCGGCACGTCGGCGAAAGTTGCAGTGCCAATTCGTGGCGCCGTACGGTGGTGGTTCTCTGCGTATCGTTTCATGTTTTCTTCCCGCGACGCGATAGCCGGTGAACCCGCACCGCGCTAGGATGCTTTCGATGCTACGGGGCTTTCTGTGGACAGCTGGGCCGAGGCGCAGCGCACGCCTGTATCGCCTGCCGCGGACGCCTGGCGCGAGCCGGGCTGCGTCGGTTGATGAGTGTCGCGCCGTCGCCAGGGTGAGCATCCGCGAGTCGTCCGTCTCCAAGCTGGGCTCCGTGTGCCGGCGGGTGTACCGGATCTTCTCGCACGCCTACTTCCACCACCGACAGCTGTTTGACGAATTCGAGGTACGTTTGTTGATGTTCCGGTCCCCCTGGCGAATACGGCATAGTAGTGGGAGATGTGGTTGAAAAGAGGTCAGTGTAGGCGGCCGCCGGTGTTGTGCCCTGAATTGGTCGCGTTTTTGAGTTCGCTAGACTACCTCTAATCGATCGAATTGATAGCCAAAAGCAATGTCCGATCCAGCCGGCGCATCGACCATCTAAATTTTTTGACCTTTACAAGCTCACCTTTACAAGCTACAAGGTTTGCTGTCCTCGCGTCAAGCGAAGTCACCATACCGTCATCAGTGCCACGCGTGACGGCGGAATAAACAGCGAACTCCCAGCTTCACGAAGCTGCGGCAGCGGACCAGCCGTGGCACTGGTCCACGTTCCACCGAGCTGTGACCGCCACACCCGCCACCCTGCTTCGCGTGTGATGTGCTCACCGTGCGCGCGCGCCCCGCCTCCCACAGGCCGAGACCCACCTCTGCCGCCGGTTCACCACCTTCGTCACCAAGTACGGCCTGATGACCAAAGAGAACCTCAACGTACCCATCCTGGAGGAGGACGTACAGGGCGAGGAGTCTGAGGCCTAGGAGTGTCGTCGCGAGCGGCCGGCGGTGTGCGCGAGCGACGGACGCAGGCGCCGGCACCGTGGTGACGACCGCAGCACAGGCGGGCCGGGTTGGTGCGACTCACGCCCGTGGAACTACGCGCAGTGGACGCGGAATTCTGTTCCGGCGTGGACGTGCTGGGCCTCGTATTTTGCAGCCTGTAGAACTGCGCGCGCTCTACGCGGCCCGTGGGCATGTACCGCGTCTCCTATTTTGCAGACCGAAGCTTGTGCTTATGTTTTGTATGTGTTGAGTTACATGAAATTGTGTGGCTAAGGTGGCGATGGTGGAAAAGCCCGTGGCGAGGTGTGTGCAGTGATAACTGCAGTGGTTAGATGATAGTATATGCCTGCCAGTGGGAGATGCTTCGTACAGGTAGTCGATGGAACACCCTCTAGCAATGAACTGAATGTAAACGAATGCGTGAAAAACATGTCATATTTTGCGGCGCATTATGTGGATCCGTCGATACTTAAACAATGAAAAGATTAACTTAACTCTTGGGCGTTAGCGGTGAATTGCACATTGCTTTGACATTGTGACGCATTCGTGACGCTTTGTGAAGAACGCGTTTTAATTCTTCTTGCCAGACATGCACGTTGCTGTCATCTGTGCGAACCGGGCATGAATAAATGTACAGGAACCTCCAACATTTCAAAGACAATGTATGGAGCTGCATCCAACACTCAAAAATCACATGGGCGCTCGCGCGAACACGAGCACAACGCAGCACTCCTGAGACAGACTCGTGGACCAGCGGTGAATACGTCCCCTAATGCGGTCTTCGGTGCATATCACTAGCGCGCGGACCACCATGCCCAACTCACGTCGGGGGATCGTCCGAAAAGACACCAGCTTCGGGCGACCTCCGACACCAAGCCAGCTCACCCAAGCCCGCCTCACGCCGGGGGATCATCCGAGAAGACACTGGCTCAGTGTGGCGGGCTCTGGGACACGCTCTGACGCCAGGTCAGGTCCGGCCCCGGCCGGTGACCGGTATCACCCGCTTGTGCATCGGGAATGGCTCGGCTACCGGCTGGGGCGTGTTCCAGATAGGCAAAACGCAGGCCGCGTGAGGGCGGGCGGCCACTGTATCGTCCAGTCGCATGATCTTGAACTTCGCATACATCACTTCTACGTACCAGACTGGCGAGTGCACCTACAGCTCCAGCAAAACGCCCTCTTCAGGCGACCGATCAGCCTGTGGTTGACCCAGTCAGCTAGATCAAGCTACTCCCACGGCCGGTCGGTCTCGCCTTCATCTGCATCGGGCTATCGCGTGTGACATTACCCATAGCGCCAGTCATGAAAGCAAGAAGCGCACCAGCGTGCACTGGGCGTCCCAACGGCGCGACATATACTGCTGCCGACAGAACCCAACATCATCCCCAGAACCCGGCGTCATCGGGCGTGGGGAGCCCGGCCCTCGTGGTCACCGGGGGCCGCGCCTGCGCGGCTTCTTCTTGAGGCTTGCGTCCCCGCCGGCCGGGCCGGCCGTCTGCGAGGCCAGCGTCGGCTTCCGCGTCTGCGTGGTGGTCTGCTCGCTCGGCACGGACCAGAAGGGCACCGTCTGCAGCGGCGGCTGGTAACTGCCGACAGGCAGCCGAGGCGAGGTCAGGGCGTGGCGATCGCCGCAAGCGCGTGATATATGACGGGGAGCTTACAACCCGGCAGGTTTGGAATGAAGCCTGATGGTAAAGGTAAATTAATGCCACAGAAGGTTGCGGTGAACCAAACGCGGGCAACTACGACGAGCTGCTTCGATGCTGATTATATGCCGAATGCTGATACGTATACAGAAAATATATTAGGCTTCCATGTAAGTGGTCGATGGGCGCAGTGCTCGATCTAGCACCAACAATATTGGAAGATTTGCTCAGCAAAATAATCACCTACCTGGGGCTGTCTGGATTGACAGCTGATTTTGACAGCAAAATGTGTATGGATGGCACGTCTTTGTTCACTTTCAATGTATCCAGAGCTTCGTTCTCCTTCGGTTTCCACAGATCCACGGTTCTGCGGACAAACCATGGGATCTATGATTCATAAACTGCGTGACATCAGTTAACTAAGAGGTCGAACAGTGCAAAGGTCAGTGACCGTGGTCATTTACACAACGCTATTGTCTAGACGCACACACGGACCAAACTCATCGCCAGACGTCAATCGTAATAAGACATCATGTCACGACCACACAAAAACCGCAAGAAAAACACTCGGGGGAGAGCACGTCCCGCGTGAGACCCACTGACGTCATCCAGGGCTCCGCTCACCTCCTGTAGCAGCAATGCGTCTCTTGGTGCAGATCCTTGACGCACTTTTTCAGCAGCTCGGCGCTCATCATGGTCTTGCAGACGGCCTGACCACTGCCGCTCCACAGCACGTGGTCATGGCTCTTCAGCTGCGTCTTGACATAGCCCACCATGTTGCCGACGCGGCTGGTTGGCTTCACCTTCATCCAGATCAGGTCGTCGGGCAGCGTCTTGAACGGCAGCTGGGACAGCTCCAGCGGTTCCTCGGTCACCCCACCGCGGCAATAGTGTTCCATATCGGCAACTGCTGGCAGCGGATGCCACGATGTCATGTGACTTTATTGGAGATAAACACGTGCTAAAAAGTTATTCAAAGTGGCGCGACTAATTTGCTTGCAATTGTATTTATGGTTCCAGCATGTTCATGGGTATCCTGTAATCGTAAGTAGACGTGGAAAGTGAACATGTTCCACTATTTAAAAACTATTAGTCTGTGCATGTTGTCATTGCTACTTCAAATATGTCATCGAATGTTTTGCACCATTTGCAGGGACCACTTTGGTATTAATATCTTAAATAGCAAACTTTGCTGCAAACACCTTAGCGCTGTCTCCCTAGTACAGCAATTGCCATCATAACCAGTGAAGCACTTCAAGTTATATATAATTACAAGCTGACAGAATGTCAATCGCTCCAAGCAAGTCCTGAGTCCTTCGGCCAGTTGTCCATAGGCTAACAGTGGCAGGGTAAACTAGGGTGGATTCTGAGACTAGAACACAATGGCAGTGACCCTGCGGTCATATGCTTCATGTTGCATCCTATGAACTATGGAGACGGCCAGTGAGATTGAATAGACTGAATTCAGTCTGAAACGGTACATAGCACCCACAATGTGGCCAAAGCAGATTTGCGAGTGCTTCCCGCCACCGCCTACCTTTTTTACACTGCCTCATCGCCTACAATTTTTTGACGTATCCCGCTAGTATGAAACTCAGAACATCTCACACTTTAAACTGGCTCATATTCAGTACCATAATTGAATCATTCGATGAAGTTACGATGGTACCCTGGTCGTAAAATGACGTCAGAATAGAAAAATTCCGCATAGAAAAAGAATACAAAAGGTGCTGATCCACTTCTGCTAGTAAATGGCTTCACGTTTCAAGACTGGTGTCCAGCGGCGCCGGCAGTGGCGGGGGGGGGGGGGGGCACAACAGGGGGCACGTGCTCCCTGTCCTGTTAGGTCCCTCAGGACCCGAAGGGCCCCTCAGGACCTACGATACGGGCCCGATTTGATGACCCGAAAGGTCTGAAAGTCCGGCCGGAGGTCACACTTAAGGGGCCCGGCCCGCAGGGCCGGACACTCTAATGGCAAGCCAGAGGACACCTGCATGCTTAATCAGGAAGCCTCTGGGTCGATAAGGGTCCATATGTCGGTCTGACACCACCAGTAAAGCACAGTCGGCTCCGTCGCGGTATGGACCTAACGGTTCATCTCCCACGCAGGGACAAAACCGGGGCCAGCGATTTACCTTGGCAGGGGCTTCAGCGTCTGTCAGGGCCCCATAGCGCCTATTTTGTCGAGCCCCTGCCTTGGCAAAGGGGCCCGATTCGGCCAAACGGTGTTCGAGGAGTCCTAGAGAGCCTGGAGGGCCCCCGGGTGCGAGGATCAAGGGTCCCATTGGAGGGTCTAAGGGCATGAAGGGCCGGTCGGAGTCTTATCCAGGGGGCTTGGCCTGCGAGGACGGACCTTCAAATGGTAGTCGGAGGGCCCTTCGTGCTGATCGGGGACCCCTGAGTCTATGTGGGCCCATACGCCGACCAAGCACCACCAGAACCGTACAGTCGGCTCCGTGTCGGTGTAGGCCTGAAGGCCCACTTCTCAATCAGCTACAAATCCGGGGCAAGTGCTTTACACTGCTCGGGACTTCTGTATCTGTTACGGACCCACAGTGCCTAACAGAGGGCCCTGTGCTCACAAAGGACCTCGAGCCGACCAAGGACAGTGTTCGATCAGGCCCAAAGAGGGGCGCAGGGATCAAAAGTCCGAGGCACCAAGGGGCTGATTCGATTCGGGCTCGGACTCCTACCCGCAGTGCCGTGACCTAAAATGTCAGTCAGAGGACTTCTTTTGGGGCCCTCTTATTAGAGGTATCTATCCTTTTAAAACAGGGCCTCAACATGGAGCCAAACAGTCGACTTCATGTCTGCCTGGGTTCTTAAGACTCATTTCCCAAGCAGGAACAAGGCCAGGGCCCACAATATGTAATGTTTGGGGTCCGCGACACAATGCGGGGCTCCTGTGTCAGTCAGGGTTTACAGTGTCTAACAGGGCTCCTGTGGCGACGAGTGACACCGAGTCGGGTCGGGGGCGGTATTTGAGGGGGCCCGAAAACGAGCTGAGGGTCTCTCGAGACCCTAGATCAAGGACTCGATGGTAAGGTTGAAGAGGGCTGGTTGAAGGTCACATTAAGAACCAGCGCCCGAGGAGCCGTGACCTCAAATGTGGGTTAGAAGGCCTCTCACACTGATTGGGGATGCCTCAGACGGAGCGTTCCCCTATTTTGACTAGAGATTACCAACAACGCACAGTCCGGTCTGAGCTCTGGGGCCCATTTTCCAACCAGGGACAAGGCTGTGACCGCGATTTGCAATGGTCGGGATCTCAGGAACAATGCGAGTATCGTTGAACTCTTGTATCGTTCCGGGGCCGACAATGCCCACAGGATATTCTGTGTCAACAAGGGGTCCGGAGTCAGTCAGGGGAACTTTTCTCAACAGGGACAAGGACGTGACCCCGAACGACAGGACCTCTGGCGTTGGTCAAGGCCCTCTGACAATGAACGGGAACATGAGAACGTATCACTCCAACCCAATTCCAGCATGGGCCGGTTAAGCCAAGCTAGAGTCTATGCGTCGGTTATTGGATCACCTGCAGCGATCTGGGATGCTGTTGCGCCAATGAGGGTTCCTGCATCGATCTGGGGTCAACTGCACGGGTCAAGCCGCCCGCGTCAGCAGGGGGACCAATGTGATATGATGCATCTCTGCTAAGGGCCTCCGGATCGGCCAAGGGATCCCGCCCCGTGTCGCCAGAATGGCAGCCGAAAGACAATACGCGGTGGGAAGGAATAGCACTTTCAGTCTTTAAGCAGGGAACAACAATGTGTCCAAAGTGTTCTTTTCAAGAGGGCCTTTTTCCCGTTGCTTCGATCGTTCATCATTTTGCAGAATCGAGTATTGAAAAAATTACACTAAAAGGTTTGAGCCTGCGCATCCGCAATTTTCGGGAGTAAGGACAGCGATGACCTCGGTTTTAGTTTCCGTACAACCGATCAGCGTCGGTACTGCAAAATAACACCAGGCGGTGAGCACCAGTACACAAGAGAACCGCCGTCACTAAAAGGACACCAGGCGGCGAGCACCCTACACGAGAGAACCACCGTCAGTAAAGTAATGGGTCCAAATGTCCCTTCAAAATGAATGCGCACCGTTCAAAGATGAGACTGGGCGTACCTTTTTTTACAACTTTGAGGTTCTCTGGACAAGATTAAGTTACCGCAGCACGAAAAATAGAGATTCTCCCTTTACTCTGCTAATTCTACCACCAGATTTTAGCACCACTGCGCAGTGCTGTAAGGACCATTCCGATTCCTACTGTCAATAAAAAATCGCACAGGTGAAATATACGCCGGCATTACCTTCTAGAAGTACGACTTGGTGTCATGCAGCGTTTCTAGTGCCCAGGCGTTCTGAAAGTTTGTTTCTGTAGTTCGCATTAAGCCGGAGTTGTTCGGCCGCCTAGCGAAAGTTACAGGAATCTGTGATTGGTCATGTCACCGCTGCGGGGTCTGCGCGGACATCGAAGCAGAAGCTACCGTCAGAGCTTGCGACGTTTGTTCAGCGCTAGACAAGACGGCCAGGACACGCAGCACGCCGATGCAGACCGCACCTTTGCCACAAGCGGCATGGGACAAGGTCGAGTGGACTACATTGGCCCAGTGGAGGCGCCCAAGAACCAACGGTTCGCGATAGATTTGATGGACTACGACTCCAAGTAGATCGAGGTAGGGTTTTGTGCAGAACCGCGCTCAGAAGCCACTATCCAGTTGCTGGAGGTGATCACTTCGCGGGAAGGCCATCCAAAAGAGTTGGTCACCGACAACGGGACGCTGTCGGTGAAGGCTCCGCACTTGCGTCCGGAGCCTTCACTGAGAACCTGCAGAGTGTAAGAACTCGTCAGATTCGCGTGACTCCGTACCACCCGGCGGGGTTGGGTGTGGTGGAGCGGGCCAACCGCACAGTGAAGTCAGCACTGCAGGAGACGGACCAGAGTGGCGAAAACCACGTCCGGTACCTGCAGAAGTTCCTACAGCAGTACCGGAGCACGCCGCACGCCACCACCGGAGTCAGCCCGTCTGAGCTGCTGCACGGCAGACGACTGAGGATCAAGCTACACGCGGCAGCCGCTGAGTCGCCTCACAGTAAGACGAAGATGCAGGAGGTAGTACGAAGATGAGTGCGGAGTCGGCAGGAGTATTAGCGGAAGTACACTGACCGCACGAGGAGCGCCAGGCCTCCCTCGCACGACGTCGGGGACTGGACCAGGTACCGCGGGTACTCCGGCCGAGGAAGGGGCGCCATCGACTCTCTGAGCCGGGACAGATTGTAGCTGACGAGGTGCATCTAGTTAGGAACTGGATCGCGGTACCAGGGTGCACGCCGAGCGTCTCGCTCGCTGGACGGCTGCACCTGATCACCAGCCGGCGGAACAGCCTGCTGATCTGTCTGTGGGACAGCAGCCGGAGCACCAGCGGAGCCGAGAGAGTGCATCCTGGTCGCCTCAGCAAGTTGCATCACGTGTGCCGGCGGCGGCGGCAACAGGCGGTCGTGCCCGGTCGCGCTAGGCCGGCAGTGGAGACGGCGGGAAGCGCCTCGTCGCGCTGCGTCGGCGGCAAACGGTCGCGGATGACGAAGCTGTGACTTCGGTACCGGTATCGTCTGGTGGAGATGTGCGGGTGGAGCCGGGGTTTTCCCCGGACCGGGCCGGCTCATCATCATCTCTGCCGGATGCAGAGCCAGCAAAAGACGCTGAGGAGTGGCCGGCTGCGCGAGCGGCCGACGGCGGGAGCGGAGCTGGTGGTAACGGGCGGTGCTGGCGATAAGCTGGACCAGGTGCGCGACGGTACCGATGATGTGCGTGGCGCTGCTCTCAGGCGTTCGGGACGGAGCGTGCGTGCTCCAGATCGTTACAGATTTGCGTAGGGGGGAGGGGGAGGAATGTAGTATTCAGGTGTTTTGGAAGTTTATTTCCGTAGTTGACGCTAAACCGTAGTTGTTCGGCTGCCTAGCAGAAGTTACAGGAATCTGTGTTTGATCATGTCACCGCTGCGAAGTCTGCGTGTGGGGCGACGGCCTATTGTGCGCGTTGTTGTCTGTGTGGGGCGGCGCGGCTGGCTTCGTAGCTGTGGTGGGCTGCATGCCGAGCTTTTGGGCGGACGTTACTGAAACTAATTCTTTGATTTATGGTATACAAAAACAAACCTGCGTTAGCGAACGGAATATTACAGCATTGAAAGGCACTTTTCCTCATTTGTCATCATTTTTGTCCACCCGTCGGCCACGACTCAGTGTTTCCCCAGGACCAACGCTGCGCGGTCTATGGAGACTGCAACGCCTGGCAGCAAGGTTTGTGTTGCTTAGATTTGCCAGCATGGATGCTCAGAAGTATGTTACATGTGTACCACTGATTAATTCTATCTGAATGTTGAACATTCCCAGGCAAACATGGCCTGGACACATTAATACAAATTGTCAATCCCTTTTGATACACAATCTATATTTGCATCCTCCTTAATATATCTGAACATAGATACAAATTCTGACAAAGCCTCTCATCTCTTATTGGCTTAGAAAGAAACTGCTGGACAATGGTAAAATAAGAACCTAGATATTCATTTCATGCAGTCCTTCAACACATTACTTCATTGGCTCATTGGCCATGGCCTTGAGGTAAAATTGAGCTTGCTGTATCTTCTGGTATCTTTTCTGGTTGAGAAAGGTGAAAAGTAAGAACAAAAACATGCCCAAAATAAGAAATATACCATACCCAGTGAGTTTTGGCAGGGAGCACTTTGTCAACTGTGTGCCCCCCTCCTCAAGGCACTAGCTGTGTACCTTCTAATGTCATGGGTATCAATCTTCCTTAATAGACATACTAATTTTCTATCAATTTGGGCTATTGGTGTGCCTGGGATACAAACTCAGCAGGTACTTGAAGGGTCACAATCGGGCATCTCAGGAAATGTCAACAAAGTGGATGGTTATCCATGGGTCTCAGGGTCTAGTCCCAGCTGGATTACAACTATAACCACATACAAATGTCTTGACACATTAACTCCCTCTCTGCATTGAACTTGGTAGCAGCTGTGCGCCAATGACAGTCATGTAAAAGTCAATTTACACTCCACATGTACTGGTATTACAGCTGGGATATCACCTCTACATTGGACTCATTTTGCCAAGAGTGCACACCATTTTTAACAATGAATAATATAGGAAGACATGGCATGTGCCTGCAAGAGTCACTATGCCAACAGGTTCCTGTGTTCGATGTGATGTATATTTTGTTGCAGTCTTTTTCTGACAAACCTGCCTTGAGCCAACCAGATCATGGACAACTCATTTTACACGCGCACTGCTGCAAGAAAAAACTTACCGTGACTAGCAGCGTCAGAGACTGCGACAAATATATTTGTTTGCCTGCCCCCTGGTGCTTAGGCACTTGCTGTGGGATTTAACTATAAAATGATCACGCTGCATCCCGACCTACCCAATCCATGCAACACGAAAATGTGTTAGGGACATGCTTCTCATGCTTACACGGCACAACAGCGTCATATATGTAAGCAATATACCGTTTGTTTTCGGCGTTCACCATCAGCGAGAGTATTACCAAAATGTGATGTCATTTCCAAGTTGATTGGCTGTAAACTTCAGCAGCCGGTTGATGTGTGCCGTTTGGAAAGCACATCATCTTCTTGTAGACAACTTCAAACAGCTGCTCTTCCCAAAAGCGCTGCGAGTTTATCAACGTTTCGCAAATGGGATTCTGTCCCATTTCACTACCATCCCATTGACTTTGTGGGAGGGTTCGCTTGGTCCTATCTCCTGCACGTTTGACGCAAGGTGCCCGTGAGTGTTGATGGGATTTGCGTTGCGTGTGTAGTGTGCATGCTACAGACGCTTGGCGGCGAACAGACATATGCAACAACTAAGTTTTTATGAGCTACTGTTATTTGCGTTGTGCAATCAAAAAGTACAAGTCAGTTCCTTGTTTCATTGGTTGCCATACGAATCGTATTCAAGGGCGCCCATGCCCAAGAGTGCCCAAGGGTGGTCGCAAATAGTCATGAGTGTTAATGACTGTGTGGGGTGCATTACATGCATGTCACAGACATGCAACAATGAATAGACACCTGCAACAACTAACTTCGCATGAGTTCCCGTCATTTCCTCTGTTCGATCAAAAAAGCTCATCAATTTCTTGTTTAAGTGGTGTCAAGAGGGCCATATACCTCAGGGCTGTGTGTGTCCCTTATCAAAATGTATGTGTATTTTGTTCAATGTATTATGGCCAGATGCAATTTTCCAGTTCTTTTCTGCTATGAGGCTTTGGTAAAAGATACTCCAGTATCCATGCCATCTTTTGTTAGGCGATTTTGACACATCATCAAAAATGCACACCCTTACAAAAAAATCTGAAACACCCTCCTGGTGTGGAGTGTTATATGGTTCAAACTCACTGTAGCTTTGCTGCATCAGATTGTGGTGTGATGGGTCTTACAGCATGTGGTGTGAATATAGTAACCACTCATGCAGCATTTTGCCTGTTGTTGTAAGTTTTTAGTCAGTTTATGATATGATTATGTTTGAAGAACTGGTTATGACCCCTTCAACCTTCCTTAAGGCCTCTGCTAGCTAGTCATTCAGTAGTGCATCTCATGATAAGTACCTATTGCCTGGTAACCTCCCCTTGCTCATGAAGGGAGGTTGTGTGTTTGATTTTTTGTGGGCCATAGCTGGATTTGAAAATTTCTGAGATGTGGCAGTTTTTGGCTGTAAGCAATATGGGCAGTTTCAACAAGCTTTACTAAGGACAACAATTTCTGATGCTCTTTCTAATGCTAGAGGTTTTGCTCTGCACCTCCACAATGGAATGCCAAAGCAGCATTAATCTGAATGCAAGCTAGTAGAAAACACCACCATACTGACTAAGTGCACACAAAAATTGGAACTAAAAGTGCTGGGAGCTGTTTATATCAGTAACAAAGATCCAGCATTTAGTGGGCAGATGAGTATGGGAGGCACACTGTGGGTGTGAGATGGACAGCCTCCACATCTAGCAATAGTTCGTAAAGTTCTGCGTGTGGTAGCGATTTTGTCCAGGGTCCTGCCACCAGTCAGCTGTTGCACCCCAATTTATTTTTACACAGCCTGGGTAAGGGAAACAGCAAATTTACTTTGCACATTCTATTGTGCATTTCTAATGTTGCGAGTTGTGCAACAAGCATTGAATGTTGAAAGCGTCTGAGTTTCTTTCCTCACTTTCGCTTCATCTTGCATTCTTGTGACGCCCCAATTATCAGAGCCTCCATGCATCAGCCATGAGAGGGCTTAAGTGCCCATCCGGTGGGGCTTTGTATGAGTGCATAGTACATACTCTGTATGGTTGTGGGACAAAAATTCATTGAAAAAAGTTGAATACAAATAATCAAATGGTACAAAATTCAACAGGGGTTCGAGTCAAGTGGGAAAAATTGAGGGATGCCCGATATTTTAAGTAGCGACTCTCAGACTGCTGGAACTGGACAGATCAGCTTCTATCTGCCGTAGGTTTCTCTGTGATGCTTCCTCCATCGCACCTCTGGTCAAATGACTGTGGCTCTCACAGTCGTTTAAGCTGACGGTGTTTGTATATCAAAAACCCGTTTGAATTGCGACTTCGCCTCGTAGTACGATGGTTCTGGGCGCTGCACGACTTCTTGCCGTAGACGCGCCCCAAAACTCCAAATCGTCTTTAACAGGTTAATTCCTTTCAGGTTTCTTGAATGACAACTCTTTGTGGGAACGTATCCCGACTTGTCGCGAGACATTCATTCCTAACACAAAGCCTCAGAGGAATGAGCTCTATCCGGGAAGTTCAGATACCAGTGCCATGGGGGCACATTGCAGGTGAGGACTTTGACCGACACAGTCGAGCACATATTGCGACTTGCATGACAAGGCACTTCATGAACGTGGTGTGTCACCTAGCTGAGAGTTCAGAGTGCACAGAGTCAACGGTGGGTGAATAACGGTGTGCAACGAGGGCAACGACTCGCCGTGTCTGTGTCCAACGCCACGCATGCAGAGGACGGAAAAATCCAGGGCGAAGCTGACGGAAACGGCGCGAATTTTCTCGTTAGAATATCCTCAACTCCAGCTAAAGACGTTTAGGGCTGCACTCCAGCTAAAAACGTTCGCATGCTCGTCAATAAATGTCAACGAATACGGCTATTTATGGTGTTGTTAATAAGACAACGAACACACGTATCGCATTGGTAAATCGTTGAAGGTGTTGACGCGGCGGGCACCTTTCCGACGTGCCCTGTTGCCGGTTGGCCTCGGCTCGGTGACCTGATCGCGCTGTCCGCCCGCTGTGCAGGCCGCGAGAGCGGGCCGACCGACGGCCGGCCGCTGCTGATGCTGCACGGCTGGCTCGACAACTGCGGCACCTTCGACGCCGTGCAGCAGCACCTGCCGCAGACCTACCGCTGCGTCAACATTGACCTGCCCGGTACGTGTCGGGCGGCGCAGGTGTTGGCCGCCGTACGCCCACGTCACAGCACCCTGCGGAATGCGTTCCCGGCGCGCCAGTGGCACCCGAACTCTTGGTGATCACTGAGGCTGCATTGACGTTTGGCGTGAGTTTGCGTAGATGCATGTGTTGCCGGTTTTCGGACGCCACGAGAGAGAGTAAATGTTGTCGTCTGCGCGTATGGGTGCGTGGACGGGAATGTCAGCAACTGACGCAGGCTGAGATGTCAGCCATGCCGGTTCAGACGGGCGCTGTTTGTCGGCAGGTCACGGCCTCTCCAGCCACATGCCGGTCGGCTCCACCTACAGCCTGATGCAGGGCGTGCTGTTTATCCGGCTAGTGCGCGACCACTTCGGCTGGCAGCGCTTTTCGCTGATGGGCCACAGCATGGGCTCCGGCATGTCCATGCTGTACGCGGCTACCTTCCCCGAGGACGTGGAGTCGCTTACCGTGCTCGACCTCGTCAAGTTCTTGACGCGCCCAGTCGACCAGCACCCGAGCATTACTCGCGACGCCGTGCTCGCGTTCGGCGAGACGGAGCGCAAGTTGTCGGCCGGCTCGCGGCCGCAGTACGGCTACGACGAACTGCGCCGCCGGCTCGTCGAAGCCGTCAGTGACCTGGACGACGCGGCGGCCGACGCGCTGCTGGTGCGCGGCGCGCGCCGCGACCCCCAAAACCGGCCTCTACGAGTACACGTACGACCTGCGCCACCGGCAGCGGCCGTTGCAGCCAATGGATATGGTCCAGTGGGGGGCGTACGCGCGCCGCCTGCGCTGCTCGTCTGCTGCTGGTGCTCTGCCGAGTCGGGCGGCACGTGGATCGGGCCCGAAGAGGAGGCGGCCGCGCTGGACATCTACCGAGGCGCCGTGCCCGAACTGCACGTGCTCCGTGCGCCCGGCGGACACCACGTACACCTCACGCACCCGGAGAACGTTTTGCCGCACATCAACGGCTTCCTGCGCGGAGAGCCGACCGCCGCGGGGTCGGAGACGGCGACGGCCGACACCGAGTCGTCCGCGTTACGGAGCGGTTTATAGGCGCCTCGGACGGCCAGCGAGTTTAGCGGAATTGGGAGCCGGTGGCTGCCAGCCCTCCTTTCGCACGTCGGGCCGGCCGCCGCCGGACGCGCAGGGGATGGGGGCCGGGCTCGCGTGGGCCTGGCCGCACCAGCAATGCAATTGTACGGGTGTTGTTCGCTAGTGGGGCAGATGTGTTTGATGTCGTTAACTATCGCTACGCCCCGCCAGGTGTGAAGTCTGCCTTGGGTGCCTACTCGGGTGCATTGCAAACAATAGCACGCTCATAACTCCCTGGCGGCTAAATCTAGCTCTTTGCAAAGCCCAGGGACCTGCCACTGTCCACCTGCACGGCGGCCGTAGCATTCTTATATTTTAAATATCCACTTCGAATGATAGCGGAAAAGGTGTAGGAATTAAAGGAACGCAGCAGCGGATGGCCCGGAACTGTGTAGCTGCATCTTACTGGCGTGACCTCAGGCCGTATTCTATGCATGGTAATCGTGAACGCTTACTGCGCACAGGTTGGCGGCTCAGTAAATGTGAAGCGCACTGCACTGATCAGGAGACGCAGTACACCACTGGCGTGCGCCGCCTCACGGTGTTTTACGTCCGCGTTGCAAGAAATCAGTGCTGATTCCAGGCGGCCTCTGGCAGTCATATAGGTCGTCTGTATACCAGGCATCTGGTCTAGAGCCCGCCTGTGCACCAGGCAACTGGTGTAGGGGCCGCGTGGCGACAGGCCTGCATACCCGCCTGGGTCCCCAAATGACGCGCCACATCAGGCACACCGGAAGTTAAGTCGGCACATTGTCGGACACGAGACCTCCATTGGAGAACGGTGGCGCTCTGTTCGCACTGCACGAATGTATTAACGGTAGTAGCTCTGAATGCGATAGACGCTAATCGTTATTCGCCCTTTGCGGGTTGTGCGTGAAGCTTATCGAAGTATGGTAATTGAGAAGAGTAGTTAACGATGACCGTGATGTGATAGTGAATTCGTGATGTTGCCTTCCTCACAAGACGATGGAATTAACAAAGTACGACCGTGAACGTCTGTGAAAAAATCGTCTTGTTCTTCATCGCATATCCTTTATTCACATCCAACAAACTGTCAGGCACTCGGCTGTCATGCAAAAACAGAACTTGCTACGAACGGTTAATCATGAAACGAACGCTACAGCATATACGTACATAAAGCGTATTCGGGACACCACTTCGATGGTTGCTCGGCGGTGCGCAGGTAAAGGTGAACGAGACCGAACCGGAGGCTCCACTCTCGAGAGACGGAGGGGCACCGCTGACGGCGGCCAATCTCTGGCGGCGTCGCGCGAGCCGCCGCTGGCTCTCCTCCCCTGAGGCGCGCCGGGCCAGGGCAGGCGACAGCGGCTGGCGGGGCCTTCCGAAGAGACGCGGCACGAGCCGGCGCCACGTGCTAAAGCCGCCTCTGCCAGCGGCGCGTCGCAGCGGCCGCCTCACACGCGGGTCGGCCGCGGGCCGGCCGGCAGCGGCGCCCAGCCGGCGGCCAGGCAGGCGGCCGACTGTGCCGCGCCGCTCAGCCAGCACGCCGCCAGCGACGCCCACGCACAGTTAAGTACATCGAGACTAGAGTGCGAGACGGAGGGGGGCGGGACGCTGACGTCCGGCGGCCGGCCGAGCGCGCCTCGCGCCGGCGCCGCGGTGATGGGTGCGGCGCCGGCGCCCGCCGGTCACAGGTAGCGGTACTGTTTGAGGCAGTTGTTGCCCAGGTCGGCCACGAACACGCAGCCGTCGTTGGAGCAGGCCAGGCCAGACGGACGGCGGAGTCGGCTGCCGTCCGAGTCGATCCAGAACAGCAACTTGCCCGTGTCCAGCGAGAACACCTGCCGCCAGCGGGCGCGAGTGAGGGCGACGCGTGAGGATCGGGCACGGGGTGTGCCTGCAGAGGGGCGCGCGTGCGGAGAATGGTCCGGGGCCGGACTTGACGAGACATGTCCAGCAGAATGGTGCCGTCCGTGGTGACCGTGCCGCTAATACGCAGCGAAGGACCATCGCCCAGAAAAGGTACTCCCGAGCGTACTCAGCCGCGTTTTTTTGTTGTGCGATACTAGCATTACGCCACGCAATAACGGCGGCAGCGAATGGCTATTCATCGCGGAATGTGACTGCTGGGACTTGAGCATTCCAGCGAACATGGAGCCATTAGTGTTCCAGCCCTCCGGTCACTGGCAGCAAGGGACCACTGTAATATTCAGTGATAGCCAAGTCCGCACACAACCTGCGTCTGAACAGAGCACTAACACTGTCAGCGTATGGAGGATGCTCCAGGGGCTGAAAATGTCAAGATAAACTCGGCAACATTCACAACAAGGTTGGTGCACAGCTTGCATGATGTCGGTGAAGCAACAGCTGGCCATGTCCCGTCTGATTCTAAGCTCGTGAATGCCGCAAGCACGTGGCGGGCGCCATGCCGCTGCGAGCTCGCGATCGAGCAGCGCAGCTGACCGTCTCTCAAGTAACGGCAGCCGGCCGGGGAGAGCATCATCTGGCGCTGTTTGAGGACAGCCTGCGCCGCGTCGGACGTCACGCACCTGGACATAGTGGCGCGACTTCTCGGTGCGGGTGGCCAGAACATTCCCGAGGTGATCGCAGGTCACGCCGCCGTAGTAGCCGCGCACTGAAACGTGCACACGAGCCGTCAGGGCCGCACCCGGTGCCACGCCCAGTCGTCATGGACAAAGGCGGCTCCTACATGAGCACAGGGTAGCGTGGCCACCGGAGCATGACGTATTTTACTTTGGCATAAATACAGTGACCCTCTATCCTCTATTCCCAATCTCCTCCGCATCGCATTCTCTAATTCCCGCTCTGGTCGGCACACGGCCCAGCCCATCACCCGATATCCCCACAGGCCAGCAGCCCAGCCCGTGCGCCGCTCCCGCGCGCGCCACTCACCGCTCGGCTCTGCCACCAGCTCGCGCAGCAGCTGGCCCTGGTCGGTGAACACCTGCACGCGCGAGTCGGCGGCCAGCACGCTGCCGTCGGGCGCCACGCAGACGGCCGAGATCTGGCGGAACTGGCCGGGCGCCTCACCGCGCTCGCCCAGCCGGCGCAGCAGCCGGCCGTCGCGGCTCAGCACCAGCACCTGGTCGAGCCCGTTGTCGGCGACCAGCAGCTCGCCAGCGCGCGACACGGCCACGTCGATCGGCGCCTGCAGAGCCTCGTGCGTGAACTGGTGCAGCAGGCGGCCGTCGGCGGTGACCTCCGTCAGCTGTCGCGCGCGCCAGTTGACCAGCACCAGCGAGCCGGTCTCCGAGACGGCCAGCCCGGTGCCGCCGCGCTCCTCAAGGCCCGAGCCGAGGATGTGCTGGGTGACGCGCAGCTCGCGGTCCAGCACCTTGACGCGCGAGTTGCCCGTGTCGGTGACGTAGACGGTGCCGTCGGCGGCCACGGCCACGCCCACCGGCTGGCAGAACTGCTCGTCTCCGTCGCCGCGCGCGCCCACGCAGCGCACCGGGTCGTTGTGCTGCGACACGTCGAACAGCAGCGGCGAGCGCGCCACCGGCCGGCCGAAGAGGCGAACGTCGAGCGCGTGCGGCCCCGGCCGCCGCGGCCGGAACGTCAGCTGGTACGTGCCGTCGTCCAGGTCGGTCACGCGCACGGCCATCGCCTCGCCGTCCGGGTCGGACAGGCGCGCCGTCACCCGGGTCGCCGCCACCCGTCTGCCGCTCGCCGTGGTAGTCGAGCGCCGTGAGGCGGACGCTGGCCTGCAGGTGCGCCGCGGCGCTCACCTCCCCCAGCTGGCACAGGCCGGGGAAGGTGCGCGACGTGCGCACACGGCCGAAGGCGGCCAGCGCCGCCTGCAGCGCCGCCGGGCTGTCGTTGTGCCGGTACTCGTACCGCACGAAGCCGTTCTCGCGCGGCTCGCTCAGGCTGCTGACCGAGTCCAGCTTCTGGTTGAGTTCGCTGATCTGGCGCGTAATGTTGCGGACCTGGACCTGGCGGCGAGCGGCGGGCGGCGGGTCAGCGCTGTGGGGACGCGGGCGGCGTCCGGTCGGCGGCCGCGGTCAGACGTCGGCGTCGGCGCCGGCGTCACACAACGGTCAGGCAGTGTTTTTGAGGCCCAGTCGTCGCGGCAACACGATTCCCCGGCCCACGGACGGCGGCCGTTTCGGTGGGCAGCGACCGTACACCACTGTCACACCCTAAAACCCGGGACACCACTCAGCCGGGAGTCGTTCGGTCAAGACATCACTGCCAGTAGGAAGGGCACGTCAAACCCGCCGCCCAGACAGCCAATGGTCTGGATGGCCCTTAATCCATCTAACGGGCCAAAGAAAGCCGCAAATACAAGTGAGACACACCGCACAGCTGCATGCCACCTAATGTCATCCGGCATTATTCATCACCACCACAAGCGACCCAACCACGCAGGCGGAGCGTCTCCAGTCAGGACTGCACGCGCGTCGGACGGCTGGCGGACTCCTCTGGCCAATGATCGTGGCCCCTCGGTCGGGGCCAGTGCTCCCCCCCCCCCCTCCCTCCCTCACCTGGTACTGCAGTCCGTCACACTGGCTCTGCACCTTAGAGCGTTCGGCTTCGATCAGGCGCAGCTGGTCCTCCAGCACGCTCTTCTTCTCGTCGCGGGTCGTCTTCACCTGCCGCCGGAGAGCAGGCGACGTTAGGTGTCGACGTCGACGTCAGGTGTCGGACGAGGGTCGCACAGCAGGGTCCGTGTGGACCAGGCTTTAGGACACGCAGCGTTGCGCCGTGTGAGCAGTGCTACAGCACAATAGGAATAAGGTCTTTCACGTCGTGGCACAAACGCTGTGGGAGCATTCCACTGTCCCAAGCTGACCTGATGGGAAGTGGTGTTTCTGCACATCAGTGCGGGAAACTCCTGATGGATAAGTTGTCGGCACCTGGTCGGTGCCCTGGATGGTGGCTCCCCGTGTCTCAACACTGTACCATGACCCTAAGGGGTGGGGGAAGGGGGAGGGGACATCAGTGCCTGTGTCGTCAGCGCCTGATGGTGTCGGCTTCCCTGTCTGTCCCAGCAGAGGACGGTGAGCCCCAGAGAACGTCCGTGTCTGTGCCAACACGCATCAGCAGCTGGGGCAGCCGCGTCACC